GAAAATGAGATGAGCTGGACATGTAGCGCGCAGTAGCTGGGACACGTAAGCGTAATAATGTCTGCAGAATGTTTAACGACGCTTTTTCAGTAGCTCAGACCAGATATCGTCAAATTATAGGTTGGATAATGAATTTGAAAGGAAGAGATCGCGGTATAATTTGAGATTTTGTTATTGCATTTGCGTGGAGAGACTGAGGAAAAGCACAAAAAATATTCAGACGGGATAGCCGTTTTCGGGGACGAGATTTGAGTCCTGCACCTCCCGAGCATGAAGAAGGAATGGGTAACCTTGTTAGGAAGTTGCCAGAATATGTGGGCTGGATATAATTTGCTGTCGTCAGGGTCCTAAAGGTGAGGAGATTAATTCAACGTTGAGGCGTACACCCTACATGGATAAGATTAAAAATGCCTAACAGAATCTTGGTCGTAAAACCCAAATAGAAGCAACCGCTTGGAAGACACACACGTAGATAATATTAAAATGGGTTTTGGAAAAATAAAAAATTGGAGGATGTGGGTTGAATTAAACTGGAAATGACTTGTATCCTGAGATATCACACCATCTAGTCTAACAGAAATTGACATATGTTTCAGAGCTGGTTGCTGCTTCCATCATCAGGGCGATTGCTGTGAATGGTTAAGCAGCGTTGAGCTGGGGAACGTGACTCTCGGATTTACATACCTTAGAGTAGCGGGTGGACATAGAATTGTTTGACCAGCTGAGCGACTGTAAGTTCTTAAGAAAGACGGTGCTTCGTGGAGATAATTGTCAAGAACTGATGAAAGGTTAGTATTAAAATGGAGTTTGAGGGATGGATTAATCTGGCTCAAGTCCGCGCGACGTGACAACACAGACCAACATCGATATATATTTTTGTGGTTACTTGTTTGTGTTTTATTTTTTTATTTTTCACAGAATCTTGGCAACTTTTATGAGACATTTTTAATGTGACTGTCATAAAATATCCGCTACTAACAACATAATTGGTTACATGTGGTAATAACGGTCTGTGTTTATAACACCCGTTCAGGTAGAAACTCGGCCTCCTACTTAATGCATTTCGCGAAACCCCTCATTCTACCCTTGACCTATTTCAGTTTTAAAATAAGGGTCCTTTTGTAGGAGGCTCAGAGTACAAGAAGACAAGACAAGTTGTTATTTCCTTGTGCACTCGCAGAAATGGCGTTGGACTTTAAGCCTCTATTGTCACCACGGGAGGGTCTTCTACTTGTCTTCTTGCCTGCAGGAAATCCCAAGTAATAAAACAAAATGTTCAAATTCTGAGAAGGGAACCTTCACCAGCCTACGTTTGGCGACGCTTGGGTTTGCCCCCGCTCAGTGTCCTGATATTTATCGTAGTTTTCGTCAAGTGAATGCTGGCATAATATATTGAATTTGGCCACGACGTCTCCCTTTCCAATCCACAAGTTCACAGAAAGTTATTATTCTCTCATGACGCTAATAAGTGCTTCAATCGATACAGCGTTATTTAAATATTTATGACGTACTGCACAGGAGCAAATTCATTCTTGAGAAGCGAAAAATTTCACTCATCTAGTCCAGGAATTTCCCGTCTCTCTCTCTCTTAGGGAATTTGAAGTCAAAATGTGTCTTCTGGGTTTGTTTTCTGAATCAAAATTACTTTTCTGACATTTTTGCGCCGCATAGTCGATGTATTATAAATTAACCGACGTTTCAGAGGTACTTGCGATGAAAGATTAAGGCAGAAATCATATCTACAGTATCTGTAGAACAACCCATTGGATCAACATGAAAACCCTTGTATTAAAACACTGGGGGATTCCAGCAGAATATAATAGCCCGTTGTAAATTTGCAGAGACCTTGGTCAGTATTCTTACTTAAGTGTTCAGAATGGCCGCACAGTACCCGCTTTCTGCTACACCCCCCCGACCCCCTGCATTCACAAATCTTTCCCTCAACTAATTGTACTTGTGCTCCCACGACGCGACCCCTCACACAGCGGGAACACAATAGAATCTGCTAAGGATAACAAGCAAAGAAAACAGGTTAAGAAAGGTCCTCTGGGATTAGTGAAACTTTACGATCGTCTTGAAGAGACCAAAACGCCATTAGATGTCGGTTTTCTTCTAATTCTGTCTTAAGTCATTTCGCCTAACGGTGTTTTACACTGAATTCATATGTGTGCTCAGACCTTATAGTCAGAAAATAGGATTTTTATTAATCGACGGCTATACAAAATAAATTAAATAAATTCAGATTCACTTCGATAAACTTTCCTTTCTGAATTCGTCAAAAACTGGGTGACAGGAGGGACGTGGAGGAGCCGCATCCTTCCCGATTCCTTCCACTAGCATCGCCATGTAGAGATTAGAAATCCGTCTTCATATTCAGGAGGTTTCCTTTTCGATATAAACCGAAGTACCAGCCATTTTCATTATTTTCCTCAGTACAGGCATCTAAATGCCACGAAAGTACTCGGTGACTAAACAGTTTATTGTTCAAAACAATTCCGTATTTTCTAATTAAAGGCTACGTTATCTTGTAACTGATGCAGCGTCATTAAATTAGTACAAAATTTATTTTCTTTTGAAATTTATCACAACATTCCGATATCATTCATCAGTCTCTGTAGTTGATAAAGAAGAGTGAAAAAATATAATTGTGCTGGGTTTTGTAATTAAAATTCCACACGCTGAGAAAATCTTATTTCTTGTCATTTGCTTATTTCATTCCATTAGCCTGTAACCCTTTCCTTATAGGTGACCCATAACACGACATTGCACGATAAGTTGCCTGACTAGCAGGCGTTATATTAAATTACTTTCAGACTTCCGTGGTTTGGCACACGTAATGTTTCACTTATTGTCAAGGTTTTTGGTGGGAGACGCGTATAATTTTGACATGATTTTAATGACAACATACTTTCCCACAGTCTCATGACAGGAACGAACATATCCTTAGGTGAGCTTTCAGGTTCTTACGGCGGTGAATACTGTAGAAGTTTACAGCCATTTCAGAGGTTCTTGTCTCAATAATTAGAGAAATCACTGATGATGGAGGCAGTAAGTACCTGTGAAGTGTCGGTAAATTTGTACCAAGACGACAGGGCTGAACATTCCTAGCAGACAGCCACTTTTTAACATCTTATAGTTTCATCTGAATTTGCTAGAGATTTTGAAGCGTAAAGAAAAATGGACGTCGTCACGAAGAAATTTTTTGGAAATGCAAATCCGATCAGTGACTGACACACAGGTGATAAGCATCAGCACTGAAGCCGGTACAAAGGATAGAATCGGAAAAAGGCGGGGTTTTGGTTGCCCTGTGGCCCTTTGGCTAGTTTGTTTAGTGAGAGAGAAAATTTACCGCTACGTTCTATTGACCGCATGTACCACTATGATAATCCCTTCCTAGACCCTTCATAAAGCAAGTACACATGCACTTTGTTCGGATCTTGGGCGTAACACGAGGCCTGGTCTGTCCACTCAGAAAAAAAAAATCCATAAATTATTTTCTATGACGTTTCTACAATTCAGAATTTTTGCAGAGATAGAAGAAACCTGTTCTATGTTCTGTGTAAACTGCTACGTAGTTAAAATGTCTCAGAAGAACATACTGCCTCCATCTTCGGTTCATATTCATAGGAATAAAAGCCTCAAATCTCGCCAAGAAATTTGTACTTCAGATATACGAAACTTCTTAATGTGTTCGCCGCTGATATCCACTGCGTCTGAACATGAATGTTGACGGGAATTTGAAGTTTCTCGATCTGCACGTAAATCATTGAAGGCTTTCGCTGTCCTCTTGTATAATAATTATAAATGTAACTAGAGGTTTTTAAATTATGCTTCGGAAAAATCCAAATCTCTTATCCATGTACTGGGTTCTGACTCCGTGAGGACTTACGGATACAAACCAATGTTTCGGAGAAACACACTTTTACCCTGACGATGGAACCTGCATGATTCTTCGAAATTCTGGTAGATTACTCGTCTACAGGACCACACGGTGCCACAGCCAACAAGAATATCGATATCTTCACCTTCGTGAGAACCTCAGATCTAACCAATTCATTCAGAAGTGTCTTACTTTTCAGATTGTGGTCTTTGGATTGTGACGCCGTGTACTCATATAGATAATAAATCATGTTGGCCTTGAAGATGGAGACAGTAAGATCCTCCGAAACGTTTGTAATCGCCTGCAATCTAGACGGCAGACCCAGAAAATCACAATGCAAAGAACAAAGACCTTCAGAAGCTAATACTCAGCTGACCCAAAATTAAATATGGATGGAAGGTTTAATATTGCGTTCACAAAAGTCACCTGAATCCAATCCAGACCTTTGCATTTTTAAGATCCATTTTAACGATATTTTTCCATCTACGCTTAGTTCTGTTTGTAATCGAGTGACCTTTAGACCTCTTCGCCACACCCGAAACGACTCTGGGACTCAACTACCCCGAGGAATAAGGCGACCGGAGCGTGGAACTAATCGATCACATTCGTTAAGGGCCGAGGTTACGAATACGTGGAGCTCAACATCCAGTTCCCCATACGCGTGCTTGAATCTTGAGGAAATTTACGTGATGAGCATAAACCATATGAAATAACTGATAAATTTATAGTAACAATTGAGGTTTTCCGGGCGACTTCTGGTTTGTAGTTCCGTGTAGTCTGATAAGAAATTCACCAACGTTTCAGATGTCCTTGCTGCCTCCATCATCAGGGCGACTCGCTCATCTCCCTGATGATGGAGACGGCAAGGACATCTGAAACACTGGCATACTTCTTGTGGACTACACGGCACTACAACCCAGAAGACGGCCATTTTGATAAATTTATGATTTTGCTGGTCACATTCTTGGGTTTAAGTTCCCTGCACCCTGAAAGCTGTGTGTTGGTATATTACATGCTACAAATTCTGTTTCTTGCCAACATTTTTGATGTTGGCTAGCCTGCGTTAGTGGGGGTCGTAGATGCACTTGGGGTGGGTTAGTGATGTCAGCGTGGAGGGGGTGAAGAGGTTTGATGTGGTTCGGCAGGGTTGGTATTATCTGCGAGCAAGGGAACCAGCTGCAAGGCAGTTTCGACGTCCAGGGCGTAGTGATATGTTCTGTCCTCACGCGCGGACTTAGTGAGGTGAGTTTTCTCTGCCATATTAAATTCTGCGTTGCGGAAGGTTAGGGCCACACCAGAACACTGCCTTGCCTTGCCACTGTGTGTCTGTCCTTGTACATATTTGTTTTGGAATCTCGTGTTGACGCGAGTTTAAGCGAATTTCACTTGTTCTTTGCAAACGTAGCGGTATGACCATAAGTCCTAGGATATGAAAAGTATGGCGATTTGGAAGAGCACATTGACGTTCAAGTTTTGATCCTGCGTTAGTAATGTAGTTCTCTCAGTGAGTCAAAAACATTCCCAGATTTGAAATATCGGAAAGGGACATCTGTTTTGTACCAAGTCAATTTATGAATTTGTGTTTTGCATTTGGAGTGGAAAGATACTTTATTAAATTCGTTCGGACGTCAATTTCAGTGTTTCTGTTTAAATAAATATGTAGATAAATTATATTTTTCTGCATTTCCATATGGAAAATCGTTCAGGCATTGGAAGTGCAGGAACATTATGGATGGATGTGGCCTGAGTAAAACCAGGTACTTAACAGTACAATTACAGCTAATCAAATGTGAATCTTGCTTTATCGTGTGTGGCGAACGTGTACGTCAGTATCATGTTATGTGTCAAATTTGGAAGTGTCTGACTGTTTAATTCTGCACTGTTTGCTTGGTGTTGTATTTAGAATCGATATGGAATTTGAATTTGTCTGATATCGTGAACTGTATACTCAGTGGCAATAATACATACTAACATACCGAATAATATTGATTATATTTTATGAATATTTTCAGATTTAAAATTGTCTTATTTATTTTAGTATGAAGAATTCCACGTTAAAAACAAATGCTCAATTGCATTTAACAGTCGCGTTTTGTGAACAACGCGGATCAAAATCGATATTCAACCTCTTCCTCGTTTGAACGTAATGCCTCATCGTCTCATTTTCGTATTTGTGTTGTCAAATGTGATCGGTTTCATTCGAGGTTCTCGGTGTATTTTATTTACGTACATTACGTCAATATGGGCGTAACGAATAATAATCCCTCTCGGAGACTAATAAGTGATGGACCAATTACTCTGTGGTTTTCTGGCAGTCAAATGTTCAATGTTATGTTAACTAGGATTTTAAATCCAACTTGTTAAATTAATATATAAGATTCTACAGTTCTCTGGTAAACACTGGGAGGGGCTGACCTTGGAAATCTTCCAGGAATTTACTGGACTCCCACTCAGCCCCTACGTTATCTCAGCCAGCTACGTTCTATTTTTCTCCGTTACAGCTGTCAATTTCTTGGAAAATTCTCCGAACACTAAACACCTAGCAACTGATAACGTCGTCATAGTGTATCTCGACCTATGTTCTAAAGTTATTTTAGATTTAATCAAGTGCACCTCAACTCGTGGCGACGATTATAAAGATGCTTCCCTTCTGGGTTGTTTGACTGTGTAGTCTGGTACCAGTTTACCGACGTTTCAGAGATGCATACTGTCTCCAACATGATGGGGTTTGCGATGAGTTCCATAGAAGTCATCTTCATAACGCAGCCATGAGAACCTTAGGTTCTCAAGGACTTGCTTAATGGACTTACAACTTGTAAACACACTTCTGACCTAAAGATTGAGGCAGCACGTTCCTATTAAAATCTTATGGAACGTCGTAACCCAGATGATAAGAATCTCGAGACACGATTTTTGATCAGCTGAGCGACTGTTAGCTTTTCAAAATACGAGTCTAAATGATTGCTTGAACGATCAATAATTTTCATTTGTCTTTCGAGTAGAGTAGAGTGATTAATTTGACGTATGAAGTAGTTTGCAGAGTAAATATTAACGTTTATATATCAACAGCTAATTTTGGTTTATCACAAATTTCTTGCGGTTGGCTCTAGTCACTTGTCTCTGCGTGAGGTGGCGCCGAGGCCTGAGTGTGGCGTCGGGGGGCGAAAGCGCCGTAAATACTGGCGCCTGACACCCCTCACAGGTCTGAAGACCTTCAGTAGTTCAGCCCAGATTTCACTTTCATAGGCCCCTAACCTAACAAAACGAATTGTAAGTTGAACAAGGCAACCGACTTCAGCGCCCTCGAAGACAAGACAGCGACCGTGTTTTGTTTAAATTTAATTTCATAACTTAACATGTAATCTAATACGTAGTATTTAGCGCGTTCAATGATTCCGTTTTTGGGGTGGGGGGACGCAGTTAATAGCGTATTTGTTCGCGTCTGAATTACCGAGGAAACTTATGAAATCAAGTATTTAAAACCTGGACTTACTGAGTACGAATTGGGGTACCCCAATTTTTAAAATGAAGGTTACATATATAATAGAAAACAGGTCATTATTATTTTGTTGTATGAAATTTGAATGATTTAGGGAAGAATAGTTTTTGCTGTGGGTAGAAGTCAAATTATCTTGGTGATTATTGATTTTAGGAGGCTGAAACAACTTAGGCCAGCCAGTTATGAATCATTCGATTAGATCGTTCGGTGTTGGGGACAGTAAGATGGGGCCAATTGCCACTGTCCACACATAGACAGACTTTGGACCGCCTCTATAAATACGAACCTTGGACTTTCGACACACAGAAAGTTTCGACATTTCTCAAAACAGCCTTTGTATTACATGTATTTGTCATTCCAGGAATCCAGTATGAACTGGAATGCGCGCTACTGGAATGTTACTAAATCGATATAATCTGGAAGTTCTATTAATATCCATGATGTGGTCTCCCCATTTTGGGTCAGTTCATTTGTTCTATTACGCACTATCGGATGTTCGAAGAACGTGTGACCTTAGACCTTCGTGTGTGATCTCGATTGATTTTAAATTGACGTAGATTTGTTAGAGAAACGTCTTAATTTAACCTCCATTAACTGAAGGATACAATATGCCTTATACCTTTGTTGTTATTTTATATTTAATCTGTTTTCCTTTCATTTTTCGTGTGTCTTTTATTTTAAATTTACTCAAAATTTCCCTGGACCAAAGAGGGATGAAGTGACTTGAGAAGATGCATTATGAGAAGCTTCGTAATTTGTAATGCTCGCCAAATATTAACAGAGTCATCAAATCATGGATGAGATTGGCGGTGCATGTAGCGCGGATGGGGGGGGGAAGAGACCATGAATTTGGGTGGAATAGTTTCAGGGGGGGAGGATTGGATTTATCTGGCTCATGAAAGGGACCGATGGCTGGCTGTTGTGAACGCGGTAATGAACTTACGGGATCCATAAAAGGCGAGGAATTTGACTGATGCTTCTCAAGTTTTAGCTTTCATATCCTTCAAATACCAATGTTTATCCACGCCATGGTACATTTCTGTCATTGATCGGAGGCTAAAACCTGATCACTGTCTCTCATTCGGGCCCTTTTTACAGAACGGGTTAACATGTCATCTCCACGAAAAATTCCAGTCCTTTATGCCCCGCCCTCTTTGTGTTGTGTTGTGTTGGTAAGTTGCTTCTAGAAATATCCCGAGCGTAGTGGTGCAAGGAGTGGCTGACCGTGACCTACGCCAAGAGTGTTGTTAGGGAGGAAGGGTAGGGCACGGCTTGTGACGACACGGGCGGCCATGATGGAACAATCGATAACTGCCTGCCTACCCCACAGCACAATACAGAGACGAAGAACGGAAAAGTACTGCCTCTTACAGCAGACGCCACTAACAATGAATATTTCATAGATTTTGTTAGCTTAATTTCAAATTATGGAGTCCAATTAATATTTGAATTGTGAGGGTTAGGTTTCGATTGTCAGCATAAGGATACCTGTTGTAGCACCGCGTACCTAAATGTGTTAACAATGTATTTGGTATCGATCTATTGCAATTACAAATTAAAGGAGGCCAGGGAAAATTGCATGACCAACTACATAGTTCTCTTGATCTAATTGTTACGATGACGAAACCTGATGAAATGGAGCGAACAGGCAGAGAGGTGGAACAGATGAGAAACGCATGCAAGAGTAGATACAAAAACAAGTGAAAGATTGGTTTCGGTTTGTAACTAAGGCCCCGAGGCAGTTTCTTACAATTTACGATGATTTTAAATGGAAGTTTAAATGCGGTTCGTGGGTTACTTCTTAAGGTTGAATGCCGCGTTGTGTTACGAGATGACGGTGAAGATGTGGTGAATTTTCTTCTAGAATGCCTCACCGTGTAGTCTCAAATAATTTGACCGACGTTTCAGAGTTGATTGATGGCTCCCTCTATATCAGGCCGATGATCGTCTTAATATTTGCTGCCGTGAGAACCTGAAATCTCATGTTAATTTTGTTTGTAGGTTGTGACGTCATGTGTATTGTCGATTTTTGCCCACATACAGAATTACACGTCAATACCAAAACATATAATTTATTCTTTGGATTTAATCTTTACTTAAACAACTAATGACAGTAGTGTTGAAGTCTGTAACTTAATAGTAAGTACTTAGCATGATCGTTACTCTCGCCGTAAATAATGACAATTTTATCTATCGCATTGAGACACGTGACTTGCCGTCTTGTTCTGTTCCTTTCTCATACGCGTAACGAAATATGAGAATGTACCGTTAGAGTGCTGGCTCAATTTCTCATATTACCAGATACCAACGTTGTTCTAAATGTGAGATGGGTGGACATGTAGAATGCACAAGGCATTAAAGTATCCAGAAAACTGAAATGATATAAGTTGGGAAATTTGCTTTCGGATAAGAGGGTATTATTACTGATCTTAATGAAAATGTCTAAATACGAGGTTTTTAAGGTTATAGCAGCAGAGGGTAATGATGCTGACTGGATTCATGTGACTCAGAATTAATTAGTATGTACAAGAGAGATCTCTACCGGTTGGTGGCGATTTCTCTTGTACATACTAATTAATCTTCTGGTTCAATATCAGTAATAAAATTTTGCTGTGCCAGTGGGAATGAGATCGTTGTACATCCCTGTACATGAAACAGGTTGGTTCCTACAGTGGCCTTTTGCTCTTGCTAACTTTTCAAAACACAAAAACACCCTTCTTTGAAGGATATAGCCCAGGGGTTGGTACTGAAGCCAACCTTCGGAACAAAACTAAAACACCCTCACATGTCATTGACCCAGTAAGTTCCTACCCTACCAGAAAGCGATTTGGGGTGGATCATGTTCTGAGGGATGGAGTGACGCAGGGTGGGGGTAAGGGAGTGGCCCTGCTAATGTTTTCGACTACCTCTCAAGGTTACACTTTCCTGTCCCAGCCTCCTCTGTTTTGACACTGGAGACTTGTCCTGGAACAGTTGACTTAAAAGTTATGTGGTCATGCTATTAGGATTCATTACCAAGTTAACAAAAGCCCACAGTTGGACTACGTAGAGCATGTTCTATTCAGCCTACACATTCAAAACCCATTTCAACTCTAGTATTTTATGATATCCAGTATGATAATATTATTACATCTACATTTAGGTCTACTGAATCATCTTTTCTTCAGATTTTATATATGAATCCTTTATGTGTTTCTTATTTCCTGATTGACATTTGTAATAAATAAAATCTTAGTACTAACTTGTGTCTTGTAGTTTTGTGGACATCTCTCCTACATTTAATTTAGTATCTTTCCATCAGACAACGGCACTGGTCGGTGATCTGAACGCGATACTAAGCTAATCTTGGAAAATGGAACACATTTTGGATCCTTGGAGACAAAAAAGGCAGTTCCGTAACACCATCAGTATATTTCAAGCCATGGGAGAACCATTTTATTTAGACCTGTATCAATATGATTGTCTGGCACAAAATATTATTGAAGTGGGGGGGGGGGATATGAGATGCATGGAATTTGGAATTCCTTTGGCTCAATATAGGGCTGATGGTCCTGTGGATTTTATGAAGGTTGTCAAAATTTTTGACTAGCTGAGTGACTTTTACCCTCAGTGACCCCTGCATGGAATTGTGTTTGAACTGAATTTAGTGTTGGTGTTCAAATCAGGTGGGAATCAGATTTAGGTGTGTTATAAATTCTGTACAAATATTTGAAAAATGTTCTGCAAAATGGAAATTGGGAAACAAAATGTTTCCTAAATTGTGTTTAATGTAGGCAAAAATATAATTACTTAATACACCTAAACCGATATTAAAACAAAGCACATTACTTCATGGAGATGGCATGAATATATTTCTTCTGTTAAGAGTACTTATCCAGTTCTCTTTGTACCATATCATGATTTTATATTTTCAGACTCAGTACTTCCTAGTCTCGGAGTAAATGCTGGAGCAGTCGCCTTTGCGAGACATGGCATCGTGCAACAGTGCCCACCTATCTGCCCCATTGATTCGCACCTCACTGCCCCGCAGAATGGGCAGTCTGTCTACCGGTTCACAGATGTCAGGTCCTGTTCCCTCAGTGAGCAGCATGTCAGTCAACATGAATGGCATTGGCAGGAGCGGTCTCGAACAGATCCGCGACTTGGTTATCGGCATCAGTTGCAGTGAAGACGAGGCCCGCGGCCCAGTGCCAGTAAAAGTATGTAGCACATGCACTAACAACCAACCCGGAACTAACCAATGCCTTGAATGCAATATAATTTTTTGTAACAACTGCGCTACTACCCACATCATGTCGCCATACGCCAAAGATCACTTTATTACAAAAGTCACTGAAAGTGCCATATCTCCAACTCTTTTTGGTCAGTCCTACCTGTCACCTAATTCGAGTACTGGCAATATCTGCAATGGGCATAGTCTTGGCAGTTCAGCTTCACCATTGTTATGTGACAAACACAGGAATGAACTGAATCTACACTGTACAAACTGTAAGATCGTTATCTGCACAGATTGTAACGTACAAGATCATTCAGGACATCGAGTGCAACATCTGTCAGTTTACAAAAAGTGTTGCAGAAAGATGCTGACGGAGGTGGAGTCCATGATTGCTGAAAACGAGAGGGCTGTTGAAAATATCAATAAGATGATTGATAAAGTGAAAAGAAACAAAGAAAAAATAAGTAAAGAGATTCAAAGCAAGGTTCAGAGTTTGAAGGCAATGCTGGATGAACAACAGATGAAATACTTGTCTCAGATTGATAATATCACGACACTGAAGTTAAGTGGATTGATCTGTCAGCAGACAGTTGTCAATAAATATTGCCTGATGTACAGAATGCAACGGGACATGCTGAATGCTATTAACATGTATCAACCCTATGATATCATTAACACATGTGAAAAGATACAAACTGAGCAGCATCGCATGCAGTCATATAAAGTCTCACACCTTCCATGCGAAGATGAAGTATTTCAATTTACCGATGCATCCCATCAGTTGTGCCTGAACATACCAAAACTGGGTACTGTGCACAGTTCAGGGTATGCACACAAGACTGTTGCTTCAGGAAGAGGCAAGAGCCATGCTCGAATCAATCGTTCAAACACTGTGGTAGTGGATGTGTATGATCATCTTGGAGAGCGCTGTGTGCTAATGCCTGGGCAGGAGCAATTGACAGCATGTGTGTTCCTTTCTAGTGGAGAGATAGATGGCCATGCCTATGTCAATTTCTCAAATGGTGCTTATGTTGTACACTACAAGCCATATACCATTGGTCCTCATTTGCTTCACATAATGCTTCGTGGCCAACATATTGTAGAGAGTCCCTTTAAGATCAAGGTAACACAGCCAAGAGAGTATGATGCAATTGGTGTTCCATTGCTTGTGTTTGGCACAGAAGGTGGAGCCAATGGACAACTGTGCCGCCCATGGGGCGTGTGTTGTGATCTTGACGGCAACATCATCGTCGCAGATCGCAGCAACAACAGGATTCAGATTTTTCACCCAGATGGCACATTTTTTCATTGCTTTGGTCGTCAAGGTGCAGAACCTGGCCAATTTGACCGTCCAGCTGGCATTGCCTCAGACATCAACCGTCGTATTGTAGTCGCAGACAAGGATAACCACAGAGTTCAGGTGTTCAAACCTAATGGGGAGTTTCTCTTTATGTTTGGTGAGAAGGGAAGTAAATGCGGTCAATTCAACTACCCATGGGACATAGATGTGAACTCAGAGGGACGAATAATTGTATCCGACACCCGCAACCATCGCATTCAACTTTTTTCTGCAAGTGGAAAATTCCTACATAGGTTTGGTTTTGAAAACCAGTCTTCGATGTGGAAGCATTTTGATTCCCCCCGAGGTGTATGCTTCAGTAATGAGGGGCAGGTAATTGTTACCGACTTCAATAACCACTGCCTTGTGGTGCTGAGTCCAGACCTTAGTAATCCACACATACTGGGAAGGGAAGGCCCAGGACCAAAAGAATTCACTCGACCTCAAGGTGTATGCATAGATGAAGATGGACATATTGTAGTCGCAGATTCGAGAAATAACCGAATTCAGATCTTTGATACTGATGGGTGCCTGGTGTGTAAGTTTGGCTGTCAAGGTTCTAAACCTGGGCAGCTGGACCGACCAAGTGGCATCTGTATCGGCCCTCATGGAAAGATCGTTGTGGTTGACTTCGGAAACAGTCGCATCCAGGTGTTCTGAGGAAACCGTCCTGTAGAAATATGAGATATTGTTGTCAGATACCGAAAGAGTTGAGCCATCTCAGGAATATGGGATGTATACATCTCAAAGACGTTGTTACTTTTCATTTTAATATTTTAAATAGTGCACATAATTATTAAATATGTGCACCCAGATTTTTTTGTGGAATAAGATTTTAACAATTTTTTATTACATGTTTTAATGTTACATAACGTTTACACTAATAAGTGCCAACCTAAAAGCATGTACAATGTATTGAAATGGATGCAGCTTAGATGTGTATGAGATATATTCAGACTTCATAAGTCTTACAATTAGTGGTAATCCATTATCCACGATACCAAAGGATAGAGCAGCATCCATTTTCTCATACTCAGGGATACAATTCACAGTATTCTTTTTATTTCTGACTTGTTTACTGATGGCAAAGCAGAACAATGGAATCAGGCTGTGTTCCTGTGAAAAGGCATTTCTGAAATGTTTTTTAAATGCTAGAAACCTGGTATAACAAACCCTTCTTTGAAGTGGAAAGATCGTCACAAGGATGATTAAGAACAACTTTGTAATACCGCTGATGAAATAATGAATTTTAATGTTGGGTACTTTCCTGCTTAGTGTTTTGAACGTAGGAAACATAAGGATTGTTAGAAGCGGGCAGTCGATATCTTGAAACTGTGAAGGAATATGATATTAATGGCCAGAAAACTGTTTAAAACATGCCATTTTATACCTGGAATATAGGATTATTCCTCTTCATTCTTAGAAAATGTCTCATACAAATAGGAGCCAATAATATTAGATATTACATAACACAGAAGGCCATGGAAATTTGGTACACTGAACCCAAGATTATCCTTTGGTTTCAATATTAACTTTTATCTTCACACTACTAATATTGCAATAGTTTGTCATTCAAGTAAAGTTGAAGTGGGGATTAATATGTACCTGAATTTACATACATATATTCATAAGTACAAATATATAGATTATTGAAAGTTCCTGATAATATTGTCAAGCATGTTCTCAGTATTCAAGCCCCGAATTCTATAACCTATCTACAATTTTATTTTGGGGGGGTGTTCTTAAACTGTTTCTTGTTACGTGCATTTACAAATGCTGTTAAGATAATTTGTGAGAGAAGTTCCATGTGACACATTATCTTTGAAAAACATGCTCACTGCAGTATGCAAGAGAACTGTACTTGTGGACAGTTTTGGCAAATAATAATATCCCATTTTAAAGAAGTATTAATACTTGCGTTCACTGTTTAATGTCTTTGTACCTTCGTCACCTGACCATGGCCTTCTGGTCTCATTCTGCACACAGATCATTTCAGAGTTGTGTATTGTCTACGAAGCAGACTGATTGTGTGTTCAAAAATTTCTTGATACAAAATGATTTTTGAATTTTCTGTGTCAGTTTTTGAGATATGTCACTGAATTGTTCTAAGAGTCAAGAGTACAAAAAGATTCTTATGAACTTCAAACAGCATTTTCCTGGTATATTTTTGTAACAACTTTACCAAAAAAACTGAATGTTTTGTTGTTGCAGTTAACACGAGTGCCATCCAAATTCTTGGATGTTGAGCTATGATTTAAGCTTCCTTCCATATCTTTTTAAGAGATTCTTGACCATGTGAATATACAGGAAACCTATACTCACAAGAACGTTTACTACTTTGATGGCACTAAACAACATAATTATTCTTAATTTCAATACTGACAAGTCCATGCATGTTATGCATATCTGCATGAAATCGTATTGCTTGTTGCAAAACACTACAATTATTGAAGAACCTGTTTTTTGTTTTGTATTGGATATGAAGATCAAATTGGTTTTAAAAATATATATAAAGACCAGAAACTTCATAGCAGCTTTTACAAATAAATGCTAATCTTAACACTGCATATATGTGAAAGCTACTATGATCATAAATATAATATGCTGAACCCTAAGATATACACACCTATGGGTGATTCAGTGGTCTTATGCACTACATTTGTTAAGACTGAAAAGAGATATAAGACTACACTCATTTCAATTTTTGATTTACGCTTGACAGGAACTGTAGGTTAAAATAGGATTTGAGATGCTAGTTCCCAGCTAGGCAAGGTATAAAGTAAATATTTATTGATGATATATTGAAATATTGACATTCTGTAGACCTTTCCTACTTGTATTGATATTTAAACAGTTGTGACCACAAAGTTCATTAGAAGACTATATTTTCCAGCTTTCCTTTCTATCAAATTTTCTGAACAAACCAAAATATAAATGAACTGTTAAAATGTGTTAAGAGCATAAACAAACTTTTAAGTATGAGCTGTATTTGTTTTAATTTTAAATGTAAATAAATTTTAACGGCATGTTTTAGAATATTCCATGTGACGGATCTTACGGCTATTCAAACAATAGTTCTGCAGATATTGTATACGATTTTATTTTGTATCTTTATATTTGTGGAGGGTAGTATATTAATCTGGGTTGACAGACATCTTTTAGTGTCTATGAGAAAGTTACTGGCTGTTTGGTTGCTTGAAACAAGTACAGAATTTGATTGCTGCAGAAAGTAGCTGATAATATCTTTTCAGAGGCTATTCCAGTATTTCCTATACATCATAGATAGTGAAAGGAATTCTTTAAAATACCACATGCAGAATATTTTATGATGGTTATTAAATGATACAAGAATGGAGTCACTGGCAATTAGAACCTGAAAGAAACTGCATTGTAATTTACCCAGGTAATGTCATTAGTCATGTTAATACATAAACTGTATATTGTCACCAATGTAGACATATCACATGGCTCAAAGAAATGTTTTTAAAATGCATGGTTAAAATAGGTATTTCTAAATTCACATTGCCTACTTTTGAAGTGTTACGATACAGTTGAGCTAGAAAGCACCACTGTTTGCTCATTATAAATACAAATGTTATTTGGATGTTGAATATAAACAAAAGAAATGCCAAATTTAAGATTAATACTTGTGTAACAAAAACCAAACTGAATAAAATATTTAAGACGTCTATACACGTTTCACAAACTAACAAGTCTCGCTCAAATCCACAGAGCCTAAAAATCACTTTTGTGCCACGTGATATGCAGAGAAAAGTACTTTATGTGGCAGTCAAACATGTTATCCTGTTCAATGTATAGTCCATGCTATTGTAATTTTTTAATCATCTTCTTCTTCTATCGCTCTCCGGTCCGTATTCGGTCCATGGCCTCCTCAATTCTCCTCTTCCATTCGGTCCTATCCTCTGCTGCCTTATTCGTCTTCTGGTAGGTCTGTCTGTCTGAGGCTTTTGATTGAAGTTTCGAAACATCTTACAGTGCAAGGTTGTTAGCCTTGTGACCAACCCCCAACCTGGAGGGCCAGGGTACCTGTCTTAGTCTGACCTCTCCCCCTCGACCAATCTGGCTAGGGAGGCCCTACCAGTAGCTATGCTACTGCCAGCATAGCTCTTGGGATCACTGAGGTACTCAAGCCCCACCACCATGACAAGGTGCAGGTACCATTAAGTAAGGAATTTTTTAATGTTCAGTTATAATTTTGTCTTCTGAAGTTCCTATTCGAATAGCATTCAGCATTCAAATTCATATATTAAATGTTTGTTTTTAAATAACATTCTTAATCTAATTTTTTTTTTAAATTTTTGAATGTATAACCACTTTATTTAGTATTGATGTAAGAATAATTTAAAATTATTCAATTTTTAAGTTTGTGTTAATGGATATAAGGCGTATTTCTATAAAGTTTATTTAAATAATGCATAAAATTCAATTTGTGTATTTTAAATGTGAATTTGGCTTCTGTCTTAACAGTAGTTCTGTCAGTGTCTCAGCCCAGTTGCTGCAGACTTATCATACCTTGATTTTGGGTATATAAGCAAAGTATTAACAATTTATAACACTGACATGGCAGTTCATTTCTTTTTAATTGTCACTTCCATATGAATCACTGTTTGAGCTATTCAGTTTTTCTGGCTTAAAATCAATGTCCACACTGTGATCATCACTGATGCATGTAGTATGTGACTGCCAGCCCCAAGTTTACAGTTATGGCTCTCCCTGTATTACTCTTTCGAGAGATGACGCAGCATTTTAAAGGTGCCAGGACGAGAGAGAGAGATTCTTCTTGATGTACGGGCTTTTCAAAGGTCCCTGTGATGGTTCAAGGAAGTTGTTGCATGTACAACAATTAACTCTGCTGCTGCTAGCAAAGTGAAGCTTGTAGTCCCATGCACACACCTCATCCAGCGGAATGCCGCAGGAAGGGTCGTTTGAAGCCCTGGCTGATATCATGACCATACACACCACTATGTTGACAGTGAGCCGAAAGGATCTGAACATTATTTGAATCCTAGATCCTAGCCTACAGCACGTGTGCCTTACATATGACTATCCAGGTATTCAGGTTTTGTCTTAGATTTTACTATTCAAAGTCCATTTCCAGCAACTGTGCCATGTAACTTTACAAGTAATGGAAGTTTTGCAGGGGCTGGCATGTATTTATTCTACATCCATGCACTGATTTTAATTCTGGTTTTATGGCAGTGATATATTACTGTGACACATTGCCAGCTGGACAGCATGCAAGCCACAGCAGAGGTTGATAAAGATTAAATTTAAACATAAAATGTTTTATGGATTTGGAGGAAATATTTTCTTGTGTTTTGAGATTTAAAAGGAAGTGTAACTGTCTGAATTTACTTTGCTATGTTTAATTCCATTCAAGCTTTGATTTTCACAGACTGGAAATACTGTGTTATGTTCCTGGAAGCAATTTAGTAATGTTCCTTTATAGTTATTACATTTTTATTATTTTTTGTCAAGTTTCATTGTTTAAGTGAGATTAAAATTGTAATTTTAAGTACTGCCATCCCTTGACAACTGTGGTTTTAGCAGTCATGATATTCTCCATCCGTATCTAACTTCGCAAACCATGGAATTTGGTGGGAATTTAGGTTTTACAGTGACAAGCATGAGGGTGAATCTTCTGGGACATACCAGCAATTTTTAATCAATGTTTGTATGTGCGGGAAACATTGATCTTTGCACCAATAAATCCATATTTGGCTGTGGAATGGTTGTAATGACATTCTCACACAGCCTTGGTCATGCTGCTATTCTTGCACTTGGCAAGGGATTGCTGTACTATTATGTAGGTAGACTAGTTAATGTGTCTGACTATTAATAAAAGGATTTGAAATGATACAACACATGCAGTTACAATTGGTAATAGCAGATAGCGTAGGGAGTCAGTTGTGTGTTGGGGTGAGCACTTCATTGAATACCATAGGCAAGTAAATTGGCAGTGAATTTTCACACCTTGGCCCAGTGATGGGCTATCCTGAGAAATTTTTCCCTCAGTCTCTCCAGGCAAAGTCTCTTTAATTAAGCCATGAATTCTGCCATTCAATGCTACGTAACTTGAGCTACAAACTGCCATAAATGATATTACAGTAGCTTCATAGTGACAATGATTTTTAAAATAAGGTCTGAACTGTTTGCCTATGTTATCTGCTATATTATAGATATTAATGATGTATTTGTAATCTTGGCTAGTTTCATAATGTATTTGTAATTTTGACTTTGATAATTACTAATCATTTATATCTTACGAGGTTATTAATGTGATTTTTAAGAAGGTAAAACCAACCATTTGTAATGTCTAAGGCTGAAATATTAAAATATATTATTAGCATATCTCGTTTGGAAACAAAATGTGTGAAGAAAGTTAGGAATGTAACTCTTTCGTGACCTAATTGGGAATATTCTGTAATGCAAATTATGTACACTGATTTGTATTGGTTGGTGGAACTCTTATGGGTTATGCTTAATAATGTTTATAAATGGTACTGCATCTGTTGTATCTCTCCATACACATAAATAGGCAACAATGGAATGTAAGGATTGCTCGAATGATATTTATTCCAGTTTGCATTACAACGGCCAAGACAAGAATGCCTTATCTGTCTACAGCTTATTGTTTTCAGCTATTGTTCTTGTAAATAGCAGCGTGCACCTGATTTTAAGTAATTTAAAACATTGGATATTCCCACTTCATGGATTTATTTTGTACACTTCATTTCTGAAGTCTGCTGGTTTTTAAATCACTCAAGGTATAACTGTTCTCTCTCCTTCACACTTCATTCATCCTCGTCATCTTACGACTCCACTCTGCCTCAGCGCCAATTTTGCTTAGTGTACACAGCCCACGAACTACTGCTCTATAGGCCCCAGGATCTTTCATGATAATCCTACGGTGTTTGAGAACATTCCACACCAGTTGCTGAAGAGTAGATATAATTGTGCTTACAAACAATTATTTCATTAATACTTTTAGCAGATTAGTGAAACTGTTCGGTACTGAGTTTAGTGTGCGATACAATTTTGTATATAACAAGAAAGGTGGAAGCGTGAAACAATTTTTAAATCTGAAGTAAGTGCCGAAGTAAGCAGTCTATGTGTAGATTTAAACATTAGTTCAATACGTTTTTCTACCACTTTCATCATTGAATGTCTGTAGGAGTGTTACCATCATGAATGTGACATGTCTGTTTGTCAATTAAACCCCCCCCCCTGCTGAAGTGTGGCCTTTTTGCCAGGACATTGCAAATAGGGAGATAACCATTTTGGGGCGTGAAGTTCATCTTCAGAGAATAGTAAGAAACCCATATGTTGGGCAGAGTGGAGTGGTATGTAAGAGTTACTGAATGCTAATGATATAGTTTCCTTAACTTAAAAGAAACTGGTCAATCTTGTCTGAATTATTGGCAAAGCATTGTGTGAAACTCGTACCTCATGAAACCTGACTGTTGCAGTCTTACGACAATCCTGTCAAGTAGATACCACTGCAAATTTCTGGGTTATGAGCTATTCAATGGTAAGGTAGTTCACCTTCAGCGTCCAATATCAGGAGCGAGATTCGACTATAACAAGAAACTTGTAGACTTCTATACACTCAGATTGTTGGTTTCTGTAACAAAGACATGGCGATGTGCTTGTGTTGGCCATTTGTAAGCAGTAGAATTATAGCTGTAAGCACTTCTGTAATGTTGCTTATAGCACATAGTTGCTGTGATTGACAAGAATGTCACATTTTACTGTAACAACAGTTTTGTGGCACTTCCTGGTGAAGATCCAAATTAATATTCGACAGGATACACCACAGATATGATGTATGCTCAGTATAATGACTAATGGATTACATTTTTGTTTTGGATAATGGGGTTTACCAATGGTGAATACCATATGCTGTTGTTGCAGTACAATTGACTAAGCACAGCAAAACACCAGCTTACTGATTGGTCCTTCAAAATGTCTCTTCATTTCATTCAATATTTTTTTTTTACATTCTGTCAAGTGCTTCTCTGATGACTTAACTTGGAAGTACGTCACTAACACAGAATCGTACCACTAAAGCCCAATCGTATACCAGTACAGTAAGATGTTTGGAAGTTTTTGTAAGCACTTATATCTTAAAGGTGTGCTACATGCTCTGCCCAGTACATCCTTGAATTTATTGCTTTAATTTGTTTACGTTGTGTCCACATAATTTCCTTCTGGCACATACTGTCCACCTGTATTAAAACAAATTATGTGTTATTCTGTTGGTATTGCTTGCCACCTGCGGCTACAAAGTTTCATAACAAGATCGCAGCAGTGGTGGGTTGAGATTAAGCAACTGGTCTGTCAATGTCTGGATGACAT